AAAACAGGGATTTTAACTATTCCACCAAGGAGATCAAAAATATTTTATTTCCTTTTACAAGTACAGATCAGAGATGCCAAAGGAAGAATGATTTCCCTTCTCTCACCTTCATATTTGCAAGATGGGAAAGAAAGTAAATAAAGACATTTCCTGGGAACTTACAATCTGTATTCCTGGCAGGTCTTGGCTGTCAGTGATAGCCAGAATCTGTAACCCTGTAACCTGTTGACCCTGTGGGACTTAGAGCTTTGAGGGTCTAGTTTAGTCTTTCTTCATGGAAATCTTGTAAGTCTCAGCCCTCCAATTCATTTCATGAGAACAAAAATAACACTAGAGTGAACACAAGCATTTATTGATGGCCTGATTGATTTGCTAAGTTCTCTTGGAAACTTTTTGGCATTACTTTGAATGGAATTCTTCATTCTCCAAAAATGGGTAAGTAGGCACCACTTTTCCAGGGATTACTAATTTGAGAGTAGAAGACAGTGGATAGTAGCATACATTTCTATTTAGATTTCACAGGACAAATAACACAGATTCTACATTAACCCAGCTTCCCTCAGTCAGTTCTAAGAGATGTTGTCAGGTAGCCTTACACTTCAAACCTGCACAGTTGTAAAACTCAACTCTGACTAGAGCAGTTTATCAGAGAACCGAAATGCTTCAATGAGTGAGGAAACTGGGACCACCACCTTCTTCCCTCTAACCTTCCCTCCCTTAATCCCAACAGGTGGGCTGCTATTCTAATACTGGATAGGCTGGAATATCAATCTATAGCAGGATAGACTATTAAGCTGATGTATAATCATTGCTTATAACCTACGATAAGCCAAGAGGATAAACTAGTTTGAAATAAATTCTGGACATACTGCACCTGAGATCAACAATTCAACTGGGACAATGTTTTCCCCCTCACCTTACAATAATGTTGGCCCTTTCTGGTCCCATATTCGGTTCTGCTCACTCTGAAAGACTGCTCAGGAAAATGCAACATATGCTATTTGGGGGCCATTTCAACTGGATTTACAAATGGCTACAGGTCCCTGAAATTTTTACAAGTTTAATGTAAGAGCATCTCAAGGAGGGTAATCTCATTCATTACAAAGGGTAGGACTAAGTTTCACTATCTTAGCAATTATGAATGAGAAAATAGGATTAGAAAAGTTAAAAAGAGGGCCTTCCCTGGTGGCGTAATGGGTGAAGTATAGCACTATGAAGCTATCCAGAGACACTGCAGCATGAGTTTGATCCCTTGCAAGGGAGGTGACCTGCACGGAACTGCAGATCTCTCCTGACCCATCCGCTGCTCCCCTCAGCAGAGTATTTCAGTACATCTGCCTGTTCTGCTCCCTGCTCTGTCCTTTGTGAATCCCCTCACCCCCCCCTCTGGCCTGTACCCCAATTCTTATATCCATAAATAAATCTTTTTTTTTAAAGATTTATTTATTCATATAGAACTAGGGTAAAGGCCAGAGATGCGAAGGGTGAGAGGATTCGCCAGGAACAGAGTGGGGAGCAGAACAGGCAGATCAACGAAGTACACTGCTGAGGGGAGCATTGGGCGGGTCAGGAGAGGTCTGCCACGCCATGTGGATCTCCTCCAGGGTAGGCGGGAATCGAACTCATGCGGAAGTGGCTTAAGCTTCTTGGTGCTGTGCTTTAACCCACTGTGCCACCAGGGAGGGCCCCATAAATAAATCTTTAAAAAAAAAGAAAAAGAAAAAAATGAAAGAGGCAAGAGGGTCACCTACCAAGTTATCTTCCCCTGCCCTGACTCCCTCTTGGCATTGTGAAAGACCTAGAAAACTAGGAAGAGTAGCAAAGAGAAATCCACTTGATTTCTTACTATTTCTTCACTGTTGGCATTACTATTCCTCAAAACCATGGAGCATTTACACATTTTGTCTAAGGGTACCCTAGATTACTGAGTAAAATTTCCAGGATTGACTGTAATGATTGTCTTTCTGCTAGCAAGTTGGCTAACAGCATCCTCTGGAAACTTTCTGTCTGAACATATATATAGTCATTTGAAGTTGGCCCTAAATTTAGATAGGTCCATGTATATACAGATTATGTTTATGCAGAATTCTTAGTTCCTGGAAAGAATGTTTATTTGACTTAAAAAAATGTAAATGCATAAAGTATATTTCCTTATACTAAAATTAGATAGTTAGAGGAGAGGACTATAAATACTCTCAAGCATGGAACAAAATGATCCTAATTTCATAATCAAAGGCTAATTTTTCTGATTCAGATGCCATCACTGAGAAGGATCAGGAAGGGAGAATGAAGGTGCTGTCCACTGATGTGGTCAGGTCCCAGGTCACCAGTTTCCCCTTACAGAATCTGCATGGTGCCAGCAGGCAATACCACCTCATTTCAGTTCATTTTACAATGTGTTCATATATAGCATTTTTCTTCTACAGATACATAAGTACATAAGTACATTAGTTTCACTTTACAGTCTTCATTTTTAAGCACTTTGCATTGTAGGTAATCCTAGTAAGTATTTTCTGAACTTGTGAAACAAGTTAAAGGATGATGTATTACAAAACAAAATTTATTTTTAAAGGAATTTACTTCATGTCCCATAGTCACCTGCAGCAATTGAAAAATGTGAATTTCAATTACAAATTTCACTATATACATTATAGAAAACAATGTAATTTTAATTTTCCACAAACTATATGTAAATTTGGAAACATTATATGGGTAAGTCTACTCAAAACTAAGCTTTTTTAAAAAATATGTATTTATTTATGCATAAAGACCTGGGTAAGAGATGCAGGGGTGGTGAGAAGATTCATCAGACAGACTGGGGAGCAAAAGAGGCAGACTGACGAACTACACTGCTGAGGGGAGCAGCAGGAGAAACAGGAGAGGTCTGCTGCACCATCTGGGTCAGCTCCCTGGCTGGGGGTTTGAACTTGTGCTGAAGTGGCTGCAGCCAGCTTCACAGTGCTGTGCCTTAATCTGCTGCATCACCAGGAAGAGACCCAATAATTTATTTCTAATTTATTTCTGTTACAGAAGATTAACAAATTTTAAAAGGCGTTAATAAACATGATTTTTAAAAGGTCTATAAAATAACAAATAATCAAATGAATAAAAATATTTTAATCAAGAAATTTTTGAAGACAGGAAGTGGACAGAATAATAGCAAGAAAAAGTCATCTTTTATTTCTTAAGCCCTGGTTTTGAAAAATTATCCAACATTTTATTCAAGAAGTAAGAACAAAATCTGAATGTGATGGAAGTTCAAATCACAATATAATGAACCTTCATTTTACAGGTGGAAGGATGGCCAGAAGTGAGTCAAAGACTTAGTAGTGGCTACTCATCTGAAAGGAAGCATTCTAATGCCCTCAACATCCAGGTCACAGGATGTTAGAAGCACAAGGGGTTGTAGATGTTAGTGGCCTGACCCTTTATCCTGCAGGTCAGTGTGCACACATCTCATAAAATGATCATTTTGGAGATCACATGCTAGCAGTTTTAATACTTCTAATGTTAGAAAGATGTGACATAAAAGAAGCCAGGTCAAGGATGAACTATCATGTAAGCTTCACTTCTAGCTCAGCCTAGATACCCACCTTGTTGCTGAACTATGGGAATTTCTTCAGTGGACTTTACTATAGAGGCGCCACCTGAGTCCTCACAGTATTTCCTTTTCTTTTTCCTTTTAGTTACAGGGGAATTAAGTTGAGCATTTGTTTTCTCTGAGCTGAGTAACATGAACATGTGTTCTATATCAGATCTATTTGAAATTGGGCTTAATGTCTTCTGACACTTTGCTAGGAATTTCTAGTTTCCTTTTTTTCCTGCATACTTTCTGAGACTCTGGGCCCCACTAAAATCTCAGGCTCCTTTGCTGTACTCAGCTTGTTGGCTCTGGTTACAGAGAGGACAGACTGAGCACATTTAAATAGCTTCTCCCTGTAGTGAGCCTGACTGAAAAAGTTGAAGCTAGAAGTTACCTGTGGGAATATATTTCATTCCTTATACATCTTACTTACCTGGGCAGAATACATTAATAATTCTCTTTCAAGGTGACTCCAAATCATACAAGACTGAGTCTCCAAGACATACAGCATGTATCCTCTAACTCTTTGAGAACCGTGAAGTCATTAAAAAGAATGAGTGAGGGCTAAGTGCTTTAAGATTGATGTTTACTATGAATGCAAAAAGCAAGCTGTAACAGTTAAGTATGTGATTCTATTGAAATATTTACACATATTTACCTGTAAAAGTCATGGGGGTAATGCACACTTTGGTTGGCTGCTGTGGAACTAAACTATGATATGTAGAGTGAGTGGGGTGGGGGGCTGGTGCATTTCCCTTTACTCATTTCTGAAGAGTCCAGATTTCTCACAGAGTGTATAAATTAAAAATTTTTAAATTAATTAGGCGACATCTCACATTTGTCCTACACATCTTCCCTGCATTTAAAAACTGGAACACTGTTACATTCTTGGTTTGGCTCCCTGCATGGAGAGTGCATTTCCTTCACCAGACACTTCTTGAATTCTTCGCCTGGAAACCAGGCTACTAAGATAAATAACACCTGCTCCATGACAGAATGGAAACCTACTTCCAGAACGCAAAATAAAAGGAATAGGGAATTTGGTAAAAATGGGCACTGTCATCAATCACATCAGTTTCCTTGATTCATAATTGGCCGTATATCTGTTTCATCTTTTGGCAGAGCAGGTGGCAGACGTCACCTTCCCGTCCTCAAACGTCAAATTTAAGACTCCGGTTAACACCGCCGAACGGGAATTGTCCTTGGGGAAAGAGAAGTCCCCTGGACATACCCACTGGGGTACCTAAAATAGAATTTGCGGCGGCACACGGATTCTGTCTTGTCTGGAGTCTGCTGAGTAATGTAATGTACATTCTGGGACAGCCAAGGGGCAGCTTGTGACTTTGAACCAAATTTTGCCTTCCATCTGTATCTAGAGAAATAATTTACAACAAAGTGGCAGACGATGCAAAGTGCTATGTGGAACGCTAGATTGTGCTTTACTTTTTTCCTCCTAACTTCACGTTTCCATGCACCAAAATGTTGATGCTACAAATATTGGATGCCACACTTACCTGACAGGCTTCTTCCATCTCAACTGGACGCGGGGACTCCGAGCGAGCGCGCAAACTGCGGCTGGAGCCGGGTTCTCGCAGCCGGAGCGAACTCAGCAGACCGAGGATTCCCTCGCTGGCCTGGGTGCGGAGCCGCTCCGCCGCCAGGGCTCCCGCAGTCAGCCCCCGGCGCGCACGCGCGCTTCCCTCGGGCGGCCCCGGCGCCTCGGGTTTTCTGCCCGGCTGCGACTGGACGGCTCTGGCGGGCGGGGTGGGTGGGGACGAGCGCTCCTAGCACGTGACCAGCGCCAACATGGCGGCGCCCAGCGGCGTCCACCTGCTCGTCCGCAGAGGTAAGCGACGCGAGGACAGCCCGGCGGGGGTTCGCACCGTCGCCCACTCCTTACCCTTCGGGGTTCAAAGGGATACACTCGCCCGCGCTCAAACATCCCGGCACACTTTAGAGTACTGTCAGTGCTGCGGACACACACGCAGACACAAACGATGACACAATTAAGATACCGCAGGAAGACACGTAGTGGTTCACTCATTACTCGCCCTGATCACGTCACTGCATAGGATCTACTCCCAGTCACTCTTTGAGATTTATGAGATATTGTCTCAAGTTTACTTTACCCAACTCTGTGTAGCAGACTTATTTATTCCGACTGCAAAGCGACAAACACTCAGAACCTCTTGTAATGCGCCCGGACACCCAGCTTCCACAGAGACGGCAACGTGTATGTGTTGTAGCTCCTGGCAGGGTACAAGCCGTCTTTTGGTGAACTTGCAAAATGTGATAACTGGCAGGGTACAAGCCGTCTTTTGGTGAACTTGCAAAACGTGATTATTCGTTTCCAGTTTCTTAAAGTGAAGAGAAAAGAGAAATTATATGAGGGTTGCTTTCCTTGCTTGAATGGTGAGATTTTAGTAAATGTACAATATACCTTTGCAACTAAATTAGAGTAATCTCTGTTGGATTTGAATTAGTTTATGAATTTTTTCTTTAAGATTTATTTATTCATATGAAACCTGGGTACATGCCAGAGATGCGGAGGGTGAGAAGATTCACCAGAGACCAGGGGGGAGCAGAACAGGCAGATCGACGAAGTACACTGCTGAGGGGAGCAGCGGGCGGGTCAGGAGAGGTCTGCCTCGCCATGGGGTCTCCTCCGGGGCAGGCGGGGATCGAACTCATGCGGAAGTGGCTTCAGCTTCTCAGTGCTGCGCTTTAACCCGCTGCGCCACCAGGGAGGGCCAGTTTCTGAATCTTTATTTGAAAAAAGTAGGAAGCTATTTCAAAGATGGGGAAGAGGTGAACTAAATGGTTTGAAGGACTACTTAGATATCAGGCATGTCCTTTGAGGAAGATATTATTTTCATAGTAAATAGTTACTATGTGCCTTTTAATACACGATACTGTATTAAGTATGCGATACTGTATTAAGTACGCGATACTGTATTAAGAACTTTACGTATGTTAACTACTTTTTAAAGCCCAAGCTAGGCGTTATTTCCTGTTTGCAGATGATAAAAATGAGGCAGAGAGATTGGGTAATATGATTATGGAAACACAGATGGTGAGAGATAAAATAGGCATTTGAACATGATTGATTTTTTTGTTTTTTTCGTGTTCATTCCTCTACTATATAGCATGGTCTCTCCATAGAAAATAGGTGTACAGAATTTGGATAAGAGAGGACAAGTGTGGTAGGGATGTGTGTGTGTGTGTGTGTGTGTGTGTACAGAGAGAGAAGAAAAGAGAAGTGTGTATTTTCAAGAGAGGAAGGAGGTTGATATTTCAGTGTTAGTGGAGACAAGTAAGGAGACACAGGAAGGTTTGAGGTGAGAGGTGGAAAGAGAAGGTGATGATGGCAGCATTTTGGACTGTTTGGAAGAGTGGAGGTCAACTTGAGAGTGTCACCTTGTGAAAAGAGCACCAATTTACATTTTGTAAGATCTGGGCCCCAGTTGAGAATGCTCACTAATCAAGTTACTTTTCTCTTTCTTCTTTTGTGAAAAAATAATGGTGTTTAGACTTCTTTTGTATATGCTGCAAGATATGGTGAAGAGGGTCAGGGAAATAGTCAATATACTGGAGGAGCCTAAACACACACAACACATATGTATGAATGTGGTTTCTTTGCAGATTTTGGAAATAAAATGTTAATTGTTTTGTCATTTATGTTTAAAATTATAGTACTATATGGAACCCAGTTCAGGTTAGTAGTTCCTGTAACCTATCCCTCATTGTGCTGAAACAACTAAGAAGGGGATCTTCTGCTGAGAAGAGGGAGGGGAAGTGGGTCATCAAGAAGAGATTTAGTGATGGGGAAAAAGTCAACAAATGCCATTTTCTTGGACCCCTTAAGTTTTCTGCAGTTTGGATACAAATCATCACCATCCCTCAGCTACATAGGGTCCTTATAACTGGTCTCCTCATCAGTCTTACCCATAACCAAAGTTATCTTTCTAAAATTCTGATATGATTATGATTTTTCCATGATAAAAAACAGCCAGAACTTCTCATTATTGAGATGAAATCAGAATCCCTTAGCATGGAAGGATAACTTCATCTCAATCAGGTCTGAGTTTACCTTTTCAGCTTCTTCTGGCAGTTTACTATCATCTTATCTCTAAAGGTTTATCATTGTTTTCTCCATAATCACTCTGCCTGCAGTGGCCTTTTTCACCAGGCAATGCATTTATCCTTTAAGACCACGCCTACATGTCACCTCTCCTTTGAAACTTTCTTTACTCCTGCCCAAGCCAAACTCTCTGCTTACATGGCAATGAGTGCATACCTTTATAATAACCAGTATCATCCTGTAGCAAAGCTTACAAATTTTTCTCAGGGGCCACCTTGGTGGCCTAGGGGTTAAATCTCAGCACTATCACCCCTACAGCTGGAGTTCCATCCTGGCCAGGAGCTAACCCACATATGGTGCAGCAGACTTCTATACTGACCTGCCCACTGCTCCCCTTAGCAGTGTATTTTAGTAAACCCGCCTGTTCTGCTCCCCACTCTGGCTCAAGTAAATCCTCTCACCCCTACTCCCCCCTCCACTCTGGCCTACATTCCAGTTCTATGTAAAAAAAAAAAATCTCAAAAGTGTATTTTTGCATTTCTATCTTCCATCCAGTGGGAGGGTTTTTTTTTCCCTTTATTATATATATATATATATATATATATATATATATTTTTTTTTTTTTACATCATTCTTCATTTTGTGTGTTTTTCCATCTCAGTTGTAATCCCCATGGGACTCAGTGGAAGGTTCTTAAAGGCAAGGATCTTACCTTCTTCCTCTCTGTCTCCCTAAAGCCTGGAGCACAGTGTCTGAACTTAGTAAGTACTCGAAGGATGAGTAATGTGGTCAGCAGTGAAACTGTAGTATGGGGTGAGGGGATATTCCTAAAGAGATAAGGTGAGCAGGTGGTGGGGAAATCATATAGATTTTGGAAAAGTTAAGATACATACAGATTTTTCTGAAATGGAGGCTTTGGCTGGAGCTGAGCATTTCTCTATAAGGGAGTCATAGAAGATGTTTACTAATACATCTTAGGGCCAGATTGTGGAGAACCTTGAAGGTCAGTTTAGGGTTTATCTTATAGGCAGCAAAGACTGCTGAAGGTTTTTGATAGTTAAGTGAAATGGCATGTCTGTTTTAATCTACTGCTGTTGATGTTGATGTACTGGAGAAGGAAAACTATTGCAATCATTTAAGAGGTGGTTGTAGAAATAAAGTGAAAAGGAGAAATGGCAAAGAGGAGAAGCATTTAGATTGGAAAGAGGACCAAAGGGAGGACAACACCATCAAAGCAAAAAAGAAGTTGGCAGAAATAGAGTCGAGTCAGGAAAAAATGTTGAGGAGAAGGTTTTGGGATGATTCAGTAAAGATTTTGACCATTGGGACCCTTCCTGATCGCACAACAGGTTAAAGCTCAGCACTGCGAAGCGGTGCAGTTTCAATCCCCAGCCCTGGAGCTGACCCACATGGCACGGCAGACCTCTCCTGTCTCGCCCACTGCTCCGCTCAGCAGTGTACTTCATCAATCTGCCTGTTTTGCTCCCACTGTGTCTTTGATGAATCCTTTCACCCTCTTGCACCTCTGGCCTGTACCCCAGTTCTGTATGCATAAATAAATAAATCTTTAAAAAAAAGATTTTGATCATTGGGAGAGCATAGTGACTTGGACCAAAAGTTCAGCAGGGGAAGGAATAAACAAAAAGTGGCAGTTGATGGTGGCTGTAGACAAGGTGAAAGGTTTTTGTCCTCTTCAGAAAAGAAATTTTATTGAAAAATAATTCACAGACTGCTCAATTTACCTATTTAAACTGTAAAAATCACTGGCATTTACTATATAGAGTCATGGAGTTGTGCACTCATCACCACTGTTAATCTATTAGCTGTCACTCTCCAACCCTCCTACCCCACTAACCTTAGGCAAGATCTAATTTACTTTGCAGCTTTATACATTTACCTGTTGTGGGCATTTCAGACACATGGAATCATACTGGTATTTGTGGTCTTTCGTGACTGACTTCTTTCATGTCGTTTATATGGTAGCCTGAATCATTCCTTCATTCCTTCTTATTGCTGAATAATATTCTGTATAAATATCACAGTTTGTTTTTCCATTTGCTATATATTGAACATGTTAGTTATTTCCACATTTGGACTGTCAGAATAAACACTGCAGTGGACATAAAGACAAAATTAGGGATTTCTTTTTCTAGGACTGGAAATATCTTTACAATGTATTTTCTGACTATAGGAATATGAGGAAGGCTATTTAACTGTGGCTAAAAATGTAGGTTTCCGAGTCAGCTTGCTTTACTAGTTGTAGAACCCACATGTTAATGAAACCAGTCTAAACTTCAGTTTCTTCCTTTGTAAAATGGGGGTGAGATGAGTACATACCCTACTGGCCTATTATGAGGATTAAAAGAAATAATGGCAGCACAGCTATATTAGTTACTCACTGCTGTGTAATAAATTACCCCAAACAACAGATGCTCATTATAGTGGTTTCTGAGGGTCAGGAAGCATGTGGCTTAGCTGGGTGCCTTTGGCTCAGGATCTTTCTTGAGGTTGTAGTTGAGTTCTTGGCTAGAGCTACAGTCATCCCACAATCTGACCGGAGCTGAAGGACCTGCTTCCATGCTCACTGTTATGGATGGATCTTTGCCGGGCAGCTCGTTGTAGAGACTTCAGCTTCTTGCCACCTGTCTCTCCAAAGGACTATTTACAACAGGGTGGCCTGCTTCTTCCCAAACTAATGAACTAAGACAGAGGACCAGAGTTCTGTGCCATGACAGAAGCCACATCTTTTATAACCCAGTCTCAGA